AAAAAAAAATGAGTAGGGCTCTGGTGGCTCCCGCCTGTCATCCCAGCTACTCAGGAGGCTGAGGTCTGAGGATCGCAGTTCAAAGCCAGCCCCGGGCAGGAAAATCTGTGAGACTTTGTTCTCCCATGAACCACCAAAAAGCCAGAAGAAGGGCCGTGGCCCCAGCAACAAGAGTCCAGGCTCAAGTCCTAGGCTGGCACAAACAGCAATTGTAATTTTGTGTTTCTCTCTCATGGTTTGGGGGTTTGGGGCTTTGTTTTGTTTGGGGTTTGGGCTTTATTTGTTTGTTTGTTTTGGGTCAGGTCGTGGGGCCTGAACTCTGGGCCTGGGCGCTGTCCCTCAGCTCTTCAGCTCAAGGCTAGCTCTCTACCACTTGAGCCACAGCGCCACTTCCCACTTTATTTGCTTATGTGGTGCTGAGAAATCGAACCCAGGGCCTCATGCATGCGAGGCAAGCGCTCTACCACAGAGCCACCTTCCCAGCCCCTGGTTTCGTTTTTTTTGTTCCATTGACACAATCTGTTCTATCCCTAAAGTGGCAGAATTATCCACGTTCCTTTGAGAGCTTGTATAGTTTCTTCTGTTACTCTAGATCTGTCTTTTTGGGGTTCAGTCTTTGTATTGGATGCCAGGCATGAGGACTCTTTTTTTTTTCCTTTGGCCTAGGAAGATGGGGTTACTTCTTCCAGAACTTTCTCTTGACTTACCCGAGATGGGAGGATGGCCGGTGTGGGCTAGTGCTTCAACCTGCGGCCTCGGCCTCTCATGGGGCTCCGGGGCTCAGCCTCTCTGCCTCCTTCCTCTCGCTCTGCACCCAGCCTCCGTGCCCTGTGAAAGAAGACGCAGGGTAGCTGCTGTTGAGCATCCCTACCGTCCCGGCTGGCACGGGAACATGGCATGTCCAGGCAGCGCTTCAGGGGCGTGGGGGGATTCAGGGGTGCGGAGGGCTTCTGGGGTGCGGGGGGGATTCAGGGGTGTGGGGGATTCAGGGGTGTGGGGGGATTCAGGGGTGTGGGATGCTTCAGGGGTGCGGGGGGCTTCAGGGGCACGGGGGGATTCAGGGGTGTGGGGGGATTCAGGGGTGCGGGGGGATTCAGGGGTGTGGGATGCTTCAGGGGTGTGGGATGCTTCAGGGGCGCGGGGGGCTTCAGGGGCGCAGAGGGCTTCAGGGGTGCGGGGGGATTCAGGAGTGCAGGGGGCTTCAGGGGTGCAGGGGGGCTTCAGGGGTGCGGGGAGCTTCAGGGGTGCGGGGGGCTTCAGGGGTGCAGTGGGCTTCCTAGGGGTGCGGAGGGATTCAGGGGTATGGGGGGATTCAGGGGTGCGGGGGGATTCAGGGGCGTGGGAGGCTTCAGGGGTGTGGGGGGGATTCAGGGGCGTGGGAGGCTTCAGAGGTGCGGGGGGATTTAGGGGTGTGGGAGGCTTCAGGGGTGCAGGGGGGAGCCACTTGCCCCCTTAGTGGCTGTGGTTTGAACGGCCGGCGGGAGGTGAATGAACGAAAAGACTCCCCGCCTGCTCCTCTTAGAAGGCCTGAAACTCGGGTTTAGATGGCGCCAAGGCTTTGAAAAATTTGGGGCTCCATGGGGCTGGGGACCCGTGGGTCGGGGAACAGAGGCAGGCCCTGATGGCAGCGGCCTTGGGGTGGGGGTCACCAGAGACCGTGTCCCCTTCTCCTGTCTCCTGTGGTCCTTCCCAGCTTCCAGAGATGGCAAGCCAGGGAGACGGGACGGAGGAGACAGAGTGAGAGACAGACAGACAGACAGACAACAGACAGACAGACAGACAGAGTCAGAGAAATAGAGACAAGTCAGAGAGCTAGCCAGAGACAGAGACATAGAGACAGACAAGAGAGACAAAGACAGAGAAAGACACACACACACACACACACACACACACACACACACACACACACACACACACACACACACACACACACACACACCGGCTCGTGCTGAATCTAGAATGAATGGATGGGTTTCCACAGCATATGGCGGAGCTGTAGATAGATGACGAACGCAGCCCTGATTTTGTGAACCAAACCCTGCCTGCTCTCCCCCAAATGTGACAGAACCCCACATGGCTCCGGAAGGTTCCAGGCAACATTGGGTTATATGAATGCAAACCTAACTTTGGCTCCCTTGCAGGAAGTGGGTGGGAGGAGGGTGGAGAAGCAGGGGGGGCGGGGAGAGCAGGGGAGGGCTCAGGGCTCACGCCTGTCATCCTCCCTACTCAGGAGACTGAGGTCTGAGGATCTCGGTTCAAAGCCAGCCTGGGCAGGAAAGTCTGTGAGACTCTGATCTCCAAGGAACCACCAGAAAACCGGAAGTGGTGCTGTTGGCTCAAGTGGTAGAGCGCCAGCCTTGAGCTGAAGAGCTGAGGGACAGTGCCCAGGCCCCGAGTTCAAGCCCCGGGTAGACAGGGCACACCAGGTTGGCTGGTTCAACTGAGCTCTCCCCCCCCCCCCCCTGCTCCTATAAGCCCTGTCACAGGGCCCAGCCACCACCCACCACCCGCCACCCACCTCTGGGCCGGGCGCCTGGGCTGGGGACAGGCCGGCATCACCAAGGCCTATGGATGGGGGTGGAGGGGTGGGGGGTGGGGGCAGAGGGGGGAATGCAGGAGATGGCTGCTGAGCACTGAGGTTGCTGGGACTGTGTGGCCTCCAGGACGCAGGCCCCGGGGGCTCCCCACTGGGTTGAGGACAGCTGGTGGGTCAGAGGTCAGCAGAGGATGCCGGTTCCTATTTATGGGATTTGTGAGCTGACACGGGTTTCATTCACCGTGGGATCATGAGTGATTTTTTTTAGTTGTCTTTCTCAGTAGCTGTACAAAGGAGTTTCAATTCAATGTATCCAAAAAGTATTTTTGGGGGGGTATGTTGTGGGACTTGAACTCTGGGCCTGGACGCTGTCCCTCAGCTCTTCAGCTCAAGGTGGGTGCTCTACCCCTTGAGCCACAGCGCCACTTCTGGTTTTCTGGTAGTTCATGGGAGATCAGAGTCTCACGGACATTCCTGCCCAGGCTGGCTTTGAACCGCGATCCTCAGATCTCAGCCTCCTGAGTCGCTGGGATGACAGGCGTGCGCTTCGAGCGCCCGGCTCAGTTTGTTTTGCTAGGTGCCGCAGTCAGTGGTAGGGTGTGAGGTTACTGCAGGGGACGCAACCATTCCCGGCAGGGTGGGGGGCTCTGGGGGGGTTTTGTTGTCCCTCCCCGAACCCCAGGCAACGCCACCCCACTGATCTGGAATGAATGCCTGCTGGAGCGGATACAGAGCCCCAGAGCTGGAGACAGATGGTGTTTGCTCTTCCCTCAAACAGCTGTGGGACTCCGCACCCGTGCGGGCCTGTGCACGGCCCCCTTCCTGGCTGATAGCAACAAGGGCATCGATTTTACTTGTGCCAGTCCTGGGGGTTTGAACTCAGGGACTGGGCGCTGTCCCCAAGCTTCTTTGGCTCAAGGCTAAAGCTCGACCACTCGAGCCACAGGAGGCCACTTTGGGCTTTTTCTGAGTAGTTTATTCAAGATGAGAGTCTCAAGGCTTTCCTGCCCGGGCTGGCTTTGAATCACGATCCTCAGGTCGCAGCCTCCTGAGTAGCTGGGACTGTAGCACAAGCATCGGCGCCCGGCTATCTTTGCCTGTTGAGGGAGTCGGAGCTCAGCGCAGGAAGGTCGATAACTTGCCTTCTGTCACGCGTGATCTGAATCTATTTCCCTGGTCTGTCACTCATCTTTTGACGTATGAGAGTGTCTTTTCCAGAAAAGACGTGATCATTGTATCTAGTGAGATAGATGTGCTTTCCTTCTTTGTGCCTGGCTTGGCCTCAGATACCGAGGCCTTCCTATCTGTACCCCACCCCCACCCCCAGCCGGTATGACATATTCCTGGCTTGTTGGTTGAGATGCGGGTTTTGCTAACATTTTCGGGGGCCTGGGCTAGCCTTGAACTATGATCTTCAGACTGCAGGCATGTGCTACCAAGCGCAGCGCATTCTTCCTTCCTTCTTAAGGGCTTCTCAGTTTTGTTTTGTTTTTGTTTTTAAATAAGAACAGTCTAAGCTACGTACCTGTTTTCTCTGATCTTTATTTTCTGAACCTGGGACCTCATACATACTTGCTACACATCCGTTCTACCACTTGAGCCACACCAGCTCCTTTCTGAAGGTTTTGGTGTGTTTGTTTTTTTACATTTCTTAGCATCAGTTAGCTGTATAAGATTAATCCTCCTCTTCACCCCTTCCCCCTTTTCCTCCTCCTCCTCCTCCCCCTCCTCCCCCTTTTCCTCCTCCTCCTCCTCCCCCTCTTCCTCCTCCTCCCCCCCTCCCCCTTCCCCCTTTTCCTCCTCCTCCTCCTCTTCCTCTTCTGCTTCTTCCTTCTTGTGCCTGTCGTAGGGCTTGAACTCACGGCCTGGACACTCTCTGATCTTTTTCACTGTAGGCTAGTGCTCTACCACTAGATTTACAGCAGTACTTCCGGCTTTTGGGTGGTTCACTGGTGATAAGAGTCTCATAGACTTTCCTGCCTGAGGAGGCTTTGAACTGTGATCCTCAGCTCTCTGCCTCCTGGGTAGCAGGGATTACAGGCATGAGCACCAGTACCGGGCTCTGAGTGGGCTTCTGTCTAAGTCTAGCCCTTCCCTCCCCGACTCCCCACCGTGCCTTGACGCTGGTCTGCACGCCTCATCTTTGCCCAAGATCGCCTGAAAGACGTGTGTCCGAGGGTGCGCGTTCTGGCCCGCCTGGCTCTGCTTCTTGGTCACAGCGTGGGGAAGAGACAGCTTAGGGTAAAGACACAGAGGAGGAATGGAAGGTTCCAGAGAGGGGTCTGCACAGCCAGGGGCGGAGGAGGACAGAGAAGGAAGGCTGGGGGTCTCTGGGAGGGAGGCATGGGGTGCAGAAAGACGAGAAGGTCCAGCGGGGGTGGCCGGGGCTTCGGGAGGGGGCCTGAGTGCCAGCCAGAGCAGGTCCCGTCGGTCCCACTGATTATCCCTCTCTGTCTGCCCGCAGGAATGAGACAGTGCTGCACCAGTTCTGCTGCCCAGCCGCGGACGCCGAGCAGAAGCCCGCCTGCTCCGACCCCGCCGCCCACAGGTGGGGATCGGCTGTGTGTGTGTGTGTGTGTGTGTGTGTGTGTGTGCGTGTGTGTGTGTGTGCGTGTGTGTGTGTCCCTGCCTCCTCCCTCCAGCCCCAGGAGGCCACTTCCAAGGTCAAGGTCATTCCAACACTCACCCTAGGCGTGAGATGTCACGGCTGGAGTTGTCACGTGTCACTTCCCGCGGCGGGCGACTTGACCCAGAGCACGGGGCTCCTCCGGGGCCTGGCTTCCTTTTCAAGCAAACACCCCCGTTTCTCCTTCTGGGGGGGGGAAGAGATCAAGGGCGCCCCGACACCTGGGGAGGGAGGGCTCCGCTGGCCAGGGCCCTGTGGCACTGCCATGCCCAGCCTTCATCTCTGGGCCTTCGCCCCCCACCCTCTCTCCTGGGCTCTCCTGTCTCCAGCCTCCTCCACCTCCCTCGCCTCCATTTCCCTGCTTTCTCACGTGCCTGCCCTTGGGAAATGTGTCCCGCCCACCCTCCGTCTCCTGCTGGAGGAAACGGAGCCCAACAAGTTCCCGGGCACCTGGGGCCTCAGTTTCCCTTCCTCGCCGTCCCGTGTGAGAAGAGAGCAGGGGAGGGGACACCCAGGGGCTTGTGTGTGCAGATGTGGAGATTCGATCCTCTTCCCCCTCTAGTCAGAGGAGGAGGCGGGAGGAAGCTGGGCCCCGAAGAGGGGGTACACCCTGGGAGCCCTTAAGTCCAGGGTGGAGGGAGAGGTAGGAGCTCCCTGAGGGCCGGAGGGAAGAGGGCGGGACACGGCTATGTCTGCTGTGGGGGGCCGGGACAGGCAGACACAGGGTGCAGCTGACTCTGGGGTGCCTAATGCTCGCTGGAGGGTCTTCCAAGTGAGAGTCACCCAGAGACCAAAGGAGGAGAGGGGGAACGGACGGGGTGTGGGGGAGGGAAAGCCCCTTCAGGGCCTTAGCACCCCCCCCCCAATGTAACTAAGCCCCTCCCTGCAGTGTGGAAGCTTCCAGAAGCTCAGGCAGAGGCAGCTGGGGTGGGGTGGGGGAAATGGGGACCCCCCAAGATGGCTCAGTGTGGCCACCGCTGTCTGTGATTCCCAGCTGTGTGTCTGTCTGCCTGTCATCTGTCTGGCATCCTCATGTAGGCTGTGGGTCTGACGTCAGGTCTCTCGGGACTCCCGATGACCTGCCTGTGTGGGTCAGTCCGTCAGTCTGTCTGTCTGGTCTTGGCTTCGAGGGGAGTTCCATCCTAGCTGTTCCTCACCTTGCCCCGGGAGTTTTAGGACACTGTGAGAGGCTGGGAAGGGCCGGTCTGGAAGCTTCTGTGTCTGTGGAGGCCAGAGACTGGGCTGAGTGCCCTGGACCCCCAGTCAGGATAATGGCGGGCTCCGTGTGCGTAGCCCGCGGTGGCGCTCTCTCTGCAGAAGCTGGGGTGCTGGCGAGACTCCTCCCCTCCCCCTCGGGTGGCTGATGGCAGGCAGGCTTTGTGGGAGCTGAGCAGCGGTAACTGCAGCCCGGATCCCAGCCAGGGCCCCTCCCCACCTTGCCACCGCCGGTGACTGTGGAACAATGCCCAGGACGGCCCGTCCCTCCGCCCCAGGCAGGGACTGTCACCGTGGGTGGCCGTGGGGCTCAGAAAAGGAAGATTGTCTCCCTTACAGGGCCTGGGAAGAAGAGGGGAGCCCCGAACCCCAGCAGTCTCAGCGGATCCATGCGCCACTCAGCTTTGCTTTAAGTCTGAGCAGGTCAGGGCACACGGCGGCCTGCTCCCTCAGCCCCGGGCCCTGTGCTGGACAGAAGTGGGGTGCCGTGCGCGTCAGGGGCCACAGCGGGGAGTGGCGTCGGTTCCACGTGCCGATCGTGAGATGTGGCATAGCCACAAAAATTAGGGAAAGTGCTGCGCGCCGGTGGCTCACGCCTGTCCTCCCAGCTACTCAGGAGGCTGAGGTCTGAGGATGGCAGTTCGAAGCCAGCCCGAGCAGGAAAGTCCGTGAAACTCTTATCTCCAATAAACCACCAGAAAAGTGGCTCTGTGGCTCAAAGTGGTAGAGCGCTCGCCTTGAGCTGAAGAGCTGAGGGACAGCGCCCAGGCCCAGAGTTCAAGACCCACGACCGGACCCCCCCCCCCCAAAAAAAAAAAGAGGAGAAAGAAGAGGGCAGCTGTGTGCAGCCGGGAGAGGATGTGGATGCATTTTTCTTTCCTATGCAGTGTACGCAGGCGTGTGCAAGGTGGGGGGGGGGGGGAGGCTGGGTTGGGGGAGAGGTGGGATTTAGTCTCCCACCGGCAAACCCCTCCTGGCTCCAAGGACAGCTGAGGGAATACTGAGGGTTGAAAGGGCTGCATGTTCGAGGCCAGCAGGGTAGAGGCTGGTGGAGGTTTTGCCTTCAGAGGCAGCAGGGTAGAGGCTGGCGGAGGCTGTGTGTGTACGCTCAGCCAGCAGAGTCTGGAGGTGGCGGTGACCCTAAGCCCCACTTCTTGTTGGCTATGCCCCAGGTACCCGCCGCTCCCCCCACAGATGGGGAGACTGGGCCTTCAAAGGCTGAATCCCCCCCCCTCCACAGATGGGGAGACTGGGCCTTCGAAGGCTGAATCCCCCCCCCCCCACAGATGGGGAGACTGGGCCTTCGAAGGCTGAATCCCCCCCCCCCCCCACACAGATGGGGAGACTGGGCCTTCGAAGGCTGAATCTCTTAGGCTGCCTGGAAGCTGACTCAGCAGAAGCAAAGGCATCAGAGCCAGAGACACAGACCCCCTCTCTGCCGGCCGTTCCCCCTGGGGGGGGGATGAGTTTTGTGGATTTCTCTCTAGGCAGATAGGGAAAGGGCAGGTGGGGGCGGGGGGGGGAGAAGTGGGGTGGCGGGGAAACCTGAGACCAGGAAAAAACAAAAAAACAAAAAAAATGAGGGAGAGAGCCCCAGCTGCTACTGCCTAGGCCTGGCCTGTAATCCCAGCCCACAGAGGAGGCTGAGCTCTGACGATCAAGGTTTGAAGTCAGCCCAGGCAGGCAGGAGTGTGTGGGGGGGAACGGGGGAAGGATGACATCGACAAAAAGCCAGTCAGGTAGCTGTGGCTCAAGTAGTAGAGCACCAGCCTTGGGTGGAAAAGCTAAGGGACAGCACCCAGTCCCTGCGTTCAGGCGCCAGTACCTGCACCAAAGATTGGGGGGAGGGGAGGGGGAAGGGGGGAGGGAGGGAGAGGAGGGGAGCATCTTGGGGACAACCACCTGCCCACCTCCCTTCCCCCCCTTCCCCCCTCCTTCCCCCACTGGCTTTTCTGCCCCACGCACTGGGTTGCCTGGTGGTTTACTTGCAATCAGAGCACAGGCCAGCGGCTGCAAGGATCGCGGCTGGGCTGCTGGGGAGGGGAGGGCAAACCTGGAGGATTTTATACCCCTGGCCACGCTCTGATTGGTCGTCCCTATGCAAATGAGCCACGGGGCAACTGGCCAATCAGAGAGAACCTGCTGACTCACTGCACACCTGAAACCTAGTTCTCAATTATGTCTGTCTGGTGCATCTCTGTGTGGAGGAGGAGGAGGGGAGCGAAGGGGAGGAGGGGAGAGAGCAGAGGAGGGGGGAGGGAGGGGGAGGAGCAAGCCAAGAGTGGGGAGGGTCTTTTTTTTTTAATTTGCATTTTCCTCCAGTTTTGGGCAGCTGGTTCCACCCCCCCCCCCCCCCCCCCCCCCCCGGGGCCCTAACTAATCCACTATTTAACTATTTACCTTCCTCACTAAATCCCCTTCAACTGGCCCACCAGGAGAGGGAGGGGGAGGGGGGTTCAGTGCCTGCACGCCTTGCCCTGCAGCTATACTCTACTGAGCCCCGTCTCTAAGCAGCCCCTCCTTTCCCCCCCAGAGACAGAGCAGATGGGAGGCTGTCTGTGGCTACCCTAAGCCCAGCCCTCCCTCCCCCTCCTCTCCTTAGTCTATGAGGTGACCCCCCTCCCGAAAAAAAAAAACCCTCAAAACCTGGGAGCCACGGCTTGGCCCATCCAACACCCACTAGCCACTAGCAGCTGAGACTGGAGTTGCGCCTCGGGACCGTACAGCTGGTGAGGGAGGGTGGCTTTGAACCGGAGGTGGCTGTGGTCTGGTGCGTTTTAGTTTACTGCCTCCCAGCCAGTGAGCTTCGCTCGGTCTCCTGCAGCCCAGAGCTCCAGGAGAGTCCCAGCCTTCCAGCTCCTTCCTTCTTCCCACCTAGGCCTGTCCAGGTCCGAGCAGGGACGCGGTAGGTCCTGTCATTTGTCGGTTGGTTCACTGACGTTGGTTTGAGGGAACAGGGGTTGGCTACATAGCCCAGTCTGGCCTCCATCTTGTGATCCTCCGGCCTTGGCCTCCCAACTAAGTGCTGAGGATGGCTGGCAGCCACCACCATCCCCGCCCGAGGACTCTGAACGAGGTCGTGGGCAAGGGCTGGCTGTTGTGAGAACAGAGAGAGCTGGAGAACAAAATTCCAGAATCAACGAGATGGCATGAGTCCATGTGACCCAGCTTGGGGACCAGAGGGGACACGATTGATCGATCCGTCTTAGCTCCAGAGTGCTTGTTGGGGGTCTGAGCGCCCCCCTGGGTGGAGCCAGGGCTGAGCGCAGGGGTCAGCGGGTCAGCTACGGGCACTGAGGTGACCGGATGGGAGAAGGGCCGGGCCCTTTGGACAGGAAGCCCCTTGAGACAAACCAACCCCCCCCTGCCTGACCCCTGCTGTCACGCTGGGAGCCCCCCGGACCAGGCAACGCACTCAGGGAGCCGGAGGAGGAAACTGGGCCTCTCTTTTCCTCCCCAGTCCCCAAACATCTTATCCAAACCTCCCGCTCTGTGATGAGGAACCAGAGACGCGCAGAAGGGAGGTGGCTGGCCTGGGGGGGGGGGGGGTGGAGGCGGCCCCGGGGTCCGCGCCGGCCTTTGGACCCGGCAGGTTTCCCAGCCTGCGCTCGCTCAGAGGCTCGCCTGAATTTGTGTCTTGTCTTGTCACTCATACGATCCGGGATCCCCGAAAAGGCGCTGGGGTGATCCCCTGTGATCATCTTAAATGACTGCATTGATTCAGAAAAGGGGGAAAAAAATGCTGTAGTCAAAGCCGGAGAAACCCGGAGGGGCTGCGCGTGCGGCTGTTGGCTTGTGCGCGGGACGCGTTCTGTGTCTGTCACACAGGGGCTTTGAGGATGACTGGCAGAATCCCCCCCCCCCCCCCCCCCCCCCCCGTCAGACCCAGCCCAACCTGCAAATCCCTTCTGGAACATTCCCGCCAGTCACTTCAAGGTACCAACCTTGCCCCGCCCTCCCCCCAGCCACCTGCCCGCACTACTCACCCACAGCCCAGTCAAGGCGGAGACTCTGGATACTGCCCCAGGACCAGCCAAGCCAGCCTCCAGCTGAGGCCTGGCCCCCCCCCCCCCCCCCCCCCCGCCCTGCGTGGGGCCTCCGGGCTCCTACCTGGCTCTTGGGCCATTCTAGTCCGCTGCCTCCTGGCACTGGTAAATGTAGCCTGCCGGGGCCTGCCTGGCTTCACCGGACAAGAGGAAGGTGCTCGGGGAATTTGCTCTGGGGGTCTGAATGTGGAGCCCCTGGGAGCTGGGGAGAGCGGCTTGCACAAGGGTGCTCAAGAGGAGACGGGCGGAGGCGCGCCATGTTTTCTGCTAGGAAACAAAGCCTTAGTGAGCAATCTTGAATTCATGGGCAGGGAGGGTGGGGTGCTTTATTTCCTCTCCCCTTTCTCATCTTTGTTTTCGGTTTTGTTTTTGGGTAACACAGGCTGGTTCTTCCCTTCTCTTCCTGGGAGAATACAATGAATAAATAAATGTTTATGGGCGCCTTCCACCGCGCCCCCAACCCCCAAAAATAAGAGAGAGTAGCTTACAGGAAGTTCTTCTGGTCCCAGATGATTTAAGTCTTCTCAGAATTGATGTCTAGAGCCGGATACCGGTGGCTCACGCCTGTCATCCTAGCTACTCAGGAGGCTGAGATCTGAGGATCACGGTTCAAAGACAGCCCAAGGCAGGAACGTCTGTGAGACTCTGATCTCCCATGAACCACTCAGAAAACCGGAAGTGGCGCTGTGGCTCAAGGGGTAGAGCACTTGACTTGAGCTGAAGAGCTGAGGGACAGCGCCCAGGCCCAGAGTTCAAGCCCCACGACCGACAAAAAAATCGCTGTCTGGGCTCTTGGTGCTCCACCATTGCTGTGTCAGAGGGGGTCATTTAGTGACCCCACGACCCTCCCCTCCTATGGGGTGCAGGGGAGGGAACAAGGCCACGCCAATCTCACTCTTTTCTATCCTCTACCTGGCCGGCTCCTTGTGTGCCTGGGGATGGGAGGGAGGCAGCCAGAGAGTGGAGGGTCTGGGGCGGGGGGGGGGGGGGTGGCAGGGGCGGGGGGGCCTAGCCTCAAGCCTGCAGTGTCCAGCGAGAAGGGTTCTCAGAGTGCAGGCGGACTCGGAGCCACACAGCCCGTTAGAGGTGCCGGCGTGCGTGTGTGCATAGGCCTGAGTGCAAGGCACCTGTGTGCTCTCGTGTGTGTGCATGTGTGCGCCTGTGTGTGTGTGTGTGTGTGTGTGTGTGTGTGGTGCTGAGAGCTAGGCCTAGCTCTCAGGCCTAGCGAATGGATTCAGGAGAGGAGTCTCCAGGTCTCTGTCCACACCAAGGGCTCAGACGCAGCCCAAGGCTGTTTCTAGAATTCCGTTTGCTTCAGTGGCCATTTATTTGGGCCCACATGAGCCTAGAAGTACAGGGGCGAGGTAGAGCTGAGAGCGTGCACACACACACACACACACACACACACACACACACACACACACGACGGAGCCGTGGCTTCGGGCAGCGTGGTACGGATATGTCCACGATGGTCCCACCTGGGGGACAAGAATGTCGGGCTGTCTTGGCTGGATGCCACCATGGCGGGACAGCTCCAGCAACTCCAGAAAGCCAAAGGGGCCGCCCGTGAGGGGCTTCGTAGGCGCCAGCTCCCTACAGAGTCTTGGAAACGTTGGGGATCATGCCTGAGGACAGGCTGGAGGAGGGGGTGCCTGGCCGGCAGATATAGATATGCTGGTGCCCCCCCCCCCCCCCCCCCGGGGAAGAAAGGACGCGGCAAGAAAAATTGGTGTTAGGGCTGATGTGAAAATCAAAGACTTCCCGCGGCCCAGGGAGATCCGGGGGCAGGGGTGGAGGGGTGGGGGCCGCCTGACATCCCCCCAGCCAGAGCGATAGCGGAGACTTACAGTGGCCGCGAGCCAGACGCCCCCTGGAGGTCAGCGGAGGGACTGCACTCATTCCATAGCCAGGGAGGCTGAGAAGAAAGTGGCCGATCCAGGACTCGAACCCAGGCACTTCCTTTGCTTCCCTGATGTTCTCTCAGCAGAGAGGCTCACGAGCGCGGTCTAGGGGTGCCGCCCCCTCGTCCCCCCCCCAGTTCAGGTTCAGGCCCCCTCTCCTTGGAAGAGGCCCAGCAGCAGCCGCCAGGCCACCCCCCCAACCGAGCGCATTACCTTCTGTTCACAGTGACGGCTCCTGCGCCCAGGCCGGCGGGGGTCTGGAGGACTCTGCGGCGGCGGCGGCGGTGGCGGTGGCGGCAGCCGGCAGACCCGCTGCCCACGCCCCGAAGGCTCAAGCCCAGGAGCTGCAGCAGGAGGAGGAGCGGCCTGGGCCAGACGGGACCTCCCCCCGAGGGCTGGCCTCCACCGTGGGGCCTCCCCTGGCCGGCCTCAGCCCGCCCACACCCCTGCCACTTCCGAGTACGAACGCTCCCTTGACCTAAAGAGTAAACAGGTACCCAGGGCCTCCGGAGGGGGGAGCGGGGGTGGAGGGCCCTGCCTTTTGGGGGCCCGTCCGGGGTGCTGGGGACCATCCCCCCCCGCGGGGATGCCATGGGTCTCCTGAATGGAGCCGTCTCCCCACCCCCTCCCCTGGAGCATGGCAGGAAAGGGGGTGCAGGTCACCCCAGCTCCCATCCAGAGCCCTCACCATCTGGCAGGGATAGAGCACTGTGCTGCCAGGCCCACGGGCAGGGCTGCGGGGTCCCTAACCTCCCCTGCAGGCCCGTAGGTGAAGGGCCGTGACCCCCTCAGTCCCCACCTGAACCTAGCTCACCTGTGCTCCTACACCTGGCCCAGAGGAGCGGGGTACAGCGGGCTCTGCTAGGTAGACTGAGGGTCCCAAGGCCCGTGTAACAGAGGGAGTCTGGAGTTCCAGTCGGAAAAGAACCCCCATGGCGGGTGCCCCCTGTCTGCCGTTCTGTCAAACAGCCATGGGGCCCCATTAAACCTAAAGAAGGATAGAATGCTGGTGGATGTCAGTGGACACCTGAGACGCAGAGGAAGTGTGTGTGTGTGTGTGTGTGTGTGTGTGTGTGTGTGTGTGTGAAGATGTCACTATTAAGAAACAGCTTTGAGGCTGGGCGCCAGTGGCTCCCGCCTGTCATCCCAGCTACTCAGGAGGCTGAGATCTGAGGATCGCAGTTCAAAGCCAGCCCAGGGAAGGAAAGTCTGTGAGCCTCTAATAAACCACCAGAAAACCAGAAGTGGTCTGTGGCTCAAGTGGCTGAGCGCTCGCCTTAAGCAAAAAGAGCTCAGGAACAGTGCCAGGGCCCTGAGTTCAAGCTCAAGGACTGACAGAGAGAGAGGTGGGGGGAGGGAAGGAAAGAGGAGGAGCTTTGAGCATGGAGATGTAAGACTTGGGGTCCCCTCCTCTGACTGTCGGTGGCCGTGAGGTATCAGGTCAGTGGAGCACTCTTGCGTGTTCATTTCTTCATCCCCAGAATCAGAAATTAGACTTGCAATCCTCTTCAAGAGCCCGTTCTGGCTCCAGAATGTTCCAAAAGGATAATTCTTTAGCCGGCGGGAGAGTGCGTCTGAGGAAGCCTCTAGCTCTGAGTCAAGACACAGCAGCTCTGCTCGGACGCTGACGCCGCCTCCCGTGGGACCGGGGGGGGGGGGGGGGGCAGAGCGCCTGGCCGTCAGGAAAGCGTTTAGAGTCTCGCGTGTTCTCCATAAGTGGGCAGGGGAGAAAGATCTGGAGATAAGAAGTGCAGAATTTCCTGAAGGGAGGGAGATAGAAAAGGAGGGAAGGAGGGAAGGAGGGAAATAGAAAAGGAGGGAAGGAAGGAAGGAGGGAAGGAGGGAAGGAAGGAGGGAAGGAGGGAAGGAAGGAGGGAAGGAGGGAAGGAAGGAGGGAAGGAGGGAAGGAAGGAGGGAAGGAGGGAAGTAAGGAGGGAAGGAGGAAAGGCAGGCAGGAAGGCAGGCAGGCAGAACTGGGGGAACGGCGTGACTAGCAGATACCTTGTCTAGCAAGCGCAGCACCCTGATTTCAGTTCTCAGCACCGTACTACAGAGCAATGAAATAGCGGATCTAAATCTCATGGGCGCCTGGCAGGACTGGATTAGAAAAGGCCCGGCTGCCTCGTGGGGTTGCTCCCCGCCCCCAGCCCCCCACTGCCCCGGCTTCTGACTGGGGTGAAGAGGAGGCAGCAGAGGATTCTGGGTGGCGCGTGGTTTTCGGAACATAGCATCTCTGAGAGCCTGAAGTCTGCATCCTCTCTGGCCCGCGGGTCTGCTGCTGCTCCCCGGGGTCTGGGCTGGCTCAGCTGCCCCCCCGGGGTCTGGGCTGGCTCAGCTGCCCCCCAGGCCTCTCTCTCTCTCTCTCTCTCTCTCTCGGAAGCTCCTTCTTCTCTCGGCCCTCCTGTGCTCATCTCCAGGCCTCGGGCAGGGCTTGGTGTGAGCGCCCCCTCTTCCTCTCCTGCGGCTTCCTCTGCCCGTCCACCTTGCTCGCAGCCTGGTGGCTGGGGCGAAAAGGACAGGGACAAAAGGCCCACGGGGGATGAGGCGTGTGGGGACCCCCGTAGGCTCCTCCAGAGAGAGGACTCGGTAGTCTCTCCCATCTACACAGACTGGTGATGAGGGACGGGAAGGAGGTTGGACAGCTGGTCTACCCACCTGCCGCGCCTCCCGTCAGCCTATCCAGGGTGCCCAGCGGATGCCCCAAAGCCCTTGATGCCTCCCTGAGTCTCACCCGCCCAGCCCAGAGGAGGCCGCCCTCCTGCTGCCCCCAGCTCCAGCTGCAGTCTTCCAGCCAGCCCCTCCTTCCTAAAGTGCTCACCTGACTGAGCACGGCCCATGTCCTTCCCGGGTGCTGCAGAGTTGAGTGGCCCGTGCAGTGAGCAATGGGGGAAGGCGAGGGCCAAGGCCTCTCCCATCTGTGTGAAGAACCAGGGGTCCTGAGGACCCCTAGGGGCCCGCCCTACTATGGCCAGCTGCCCTGGACCAGGTGTGGCCCCTTAGAAGGCCTGGGCCTGGGGAATATGCCAATGAAGGGAGGAGGAGAGCAGGCTGCAAGTGGGCGTGGCCACCAAGAGGGCGTAGCTCAATGGCAGGGGCGTGGCTGAAGGGGAGGGTGTGGCTTGAGAGGCAGGGGGCGTGGCCAGCACACCTCCCCCCCCACCTCTGTCATCCTCCTGATGCTCTGCTCCCCAGCCCGAAGTCGGGGTGCGCCTTGTCAAATCTGACAGCCTACACCACAGGAGGCCAGAGGAGAGCCAGGCCCTGCTTCCAAGCTGCAGACACAACCTGGAAAGAGAGCCCATGTTCTCGTTAACACTGAGAGGCTCATTAGCCACAGAACCCCCCCCTGCCCCCCCCCCCCTCCATCCTCAGCTTCCCCCAGCAGAAGGTGAGCCAGTGCTCTCTTGGGAGGAGCCAAGGCCACAATTACCTGTATGATGCATGGGGCTCAGGGATGAGGGGCCTATAAGCCCAGATCCTCCTTTCCTCCTTTTCTGGGGCCATCCTCTGTCCTGCCCTGTGTGTGTGTGTGTGTGTGTGTGTGTGAGAACTGGGGACAGATCAGTTGAGTCAGGACATTGGGGATTCTGAGACCTGGATCTTTTGTTGCTGCTGTTGTTGTTAATTTCCCCCGGGGCAGAGAAAAGCATTCGTGGTAGCCCTGTCCGCACCCGCCCTCCCTGATGAGGCCCAGCCCCGAGACTGGCCCAGCGCTGGGCAGCACCAGGGACGTGGTTAGGTCACGTCATCCTAGCTTCTCAGGAGGCTGAGATCTGAGGACCATGGTTCAAAACCAGCCCGGGGCAGGAAAGTCCATGAGACTCTGATCTCCAGTGAACCATCAGAAAACCGGAAGTGGCGCTGTGGCTCAAGGGGTAGAGCGCCAGCCTTGAGCTGAAGAGCTGAGGGACAGCGCCCAGGCCCAGAGTTGAAGTCCCACGACCGATACAAATAAATAACTAAAAATACAAACTAAAGCAAGGCTCACGTCTACCTCCACTTGTAGAACGTGGATTAAGGTTCAGAATGGTGGAGGAAGCTAAGACCGGCTGTGCCCGGGGAACACTTGAGACTTGTAGACAGGGCCTTGTCACCGAGCTACACAACTGTAAGGACAGTAACTTGGTGCCATTCGCTTGGGTAGCCGTCAGACTGAGGCCTCCCGATGATGACTGCCTCCTGAGTTGCTGGGATTACAGGTGTGATCCACGAAGCCTGGCCTCATGGGATCATTTAACAACAACGCCCCAGAGCAGCCTTTGGGGGCTCCCCTCGGCCATACGTTCCTTCCGTCCCTGGTGTAGAATTCTGCTCCTTCTTGGGGTCCCGCCCAGGGGGCCTGACATCTCAGCTTATGCCCGGCCGAGGTCATCAGCCATGAGCCCCTCTTCCCTCTCCACCCCTGTGCCGGGGCCTTGGCCCCCGCGACCCCCTCCTGGCCTGCCTGACCACGCCCTTTCTCCCCTGTCCCCGCTGCAGATTGAGATGCTAGAGCACAAGTACGGGGGCCACCTGGTGTCGCGGCGGGCGGCCTGCACCATCCAGACCGCCTTCCGCCAGTACCAGCTCAGCAAGAACTTCGAGAAGATCCGCAACTCGCTGCTGGAGAGCCGCCTGCCCCGGCGCATCTCCCTGCGCAGGGCGCGGGCGCCCACGGCCGCCGAGAGCCTGGCAGCTGAGAGGGCGCTGGTGGAGAGCTGCGGGCTGCTGGGGCTGCCGCTCACGCGCGCGCCCTCCCTGCCGCCCGGCCTGGCGGGCACGCTCACCGAGCTCGAGGACTCCTTCACCGAGCAGGTGCAGTCCCTGGCCAAGTCCATCGACGACGCCCTGAGCACCTGGAGCCTCAAGACCATGTGCTCCCTGCAGGAGAGCGGTGCCTACCAGCTCCACCAGGCCCTGCACGCGGGCTCCGCACAGCCCGGCCTGGAGGTTGAGATGAGGGATCCGGACGGCAGCGGAAGCGGCGGCGCCGGCGCTGTCCCGGGGTCCGGGGAGGAGGCTGCGGAGGCCGGCCTGTCCCAGGGTCACAGCAGCACCCTCATGATGGCCTTCCGGGATGTCACCGTGCAGATCGCCAGTCAGAACATCTCCGTGTCCTCCACGGCGCTGTCGGTGGCCAACTGCCTGGGCGCACAGGCCCCCGCCGCGGAGCCCGCGGCCAGCAGGGCCGATCGCGACGAGGCCCCCGGGCTGGGGGACCAGGACGCCACAGCTCGGGGGGCCACCCCCACCGCGGACTCCTGTGCCGAGCCCGAGGCCGAGGCCGGCACCCAGCAGCCGGAGGCCGCAGAAGGCGTGGTGGAGGAGGCTGCGTCGGCTGAGGTGGAGGAGGAGGAGGAAGAGGAGGCCGGGAAAGCCGCCGAGGCGGAGGGGGGAGAGAACTCGGAGCGGCTCGGTGGTGGCAGCAGCGGCACCTCGGCCACGCCAGCCAGGCCGGGCCCCGAGGCGGCGGCCTCGGCCTCCAAGGAGGCCCTGCAGGCCATGATCCTGAGCCTGCCGCGCTACCACTGCGAGAACCCGGCCAGCTGCCGGTCCCCCACGCTGTCCACAGACACGCTGCGCAAACGTCTCTACCGCATCGGCCTCAACCTCTTCAACATGTGAGCCACGGGGCAGGGGCCGCCGGGGAGGGGCCGGGGCCGGGGCGGGGCTGTGGGCCTACAGCCCTAGCTACTGTAGGAGGCTGAGATCAGAGGATCGGGGTCGGAGGCCAGTCTATACAGACAAATCCATGGGAGATTTTTTTGTTTGTTTGTGAGGCTTGAACTCGGGGGTTGGGCGCTGTCCCTCAGCTCTTCAGCTCAAGGCGGGCGCTCTACCACTTGAGCCACAGCACCACTCCCAGTTTTCTGGTGGTTCCTGGGAGATCAGAGTCTCACAGACTTTCCTGCCCCGGGCTGGCTTTGAACCGTGATCCTCAGACCTCAGCCTCCTGAGTAGCTGGGATGCACACTTTACTGTTCCTCCTCCACCGGGCACAGAGTCCCTGAGCTCCTCCCAGCAGCATCTAGAGATGGGTGGCGTCACCCCCATTCTACAGGCCAGCAAACTGGGCGCTCAGAGAGGTCTGGAGGGCCGCAGCCGCTCAAAGTGGTAGCGGGCAGCAGGGCTTGGGAAGCCAGGGCCGTCTGACCGATCTGCCACGTGCTGTGGTTCAAAGCCAGCCCAGACAGGAAAGTCTTTGCAACGCCTGTCCCCAGTGACCCCCGGAGGAGCTGGATGTGGAGCTGTGGTTCAAGCACCAGCTTTGAGCAGAAAACAACAACAAACTCAGGAACAACACTCAGGCCCTGAGTTCAAGCCTCAGGACAGACAGACAGAGACAGACAGACAGACACACACACACTTAACATGCTGGGCAGAGTGCTCTACCAGAATCTTCTTAAATTAATTAATTAATTGAATTTTTTCTGTCAGTCCTGGGGCTTGAACCCAGGGCCTGGGCGCTGTCCCTGAGCTTCTTTTGCTCTAGGCTGGCGCTCTACCCCTTGAGCCGCAGCACCACTTGTGTTTTTTCTGTGTGTGTGTGGTGCTGAGGAATTGAACCCAGGGCTTCGCGCGTGCTAGGCGAGCGCTCTACCCCCGAGCCGCCTGCCCAGCCCTCTACCAGGTTCTGAATGTTGCTGCCCGTCTGTGTCCTGAAATTGCCTCAAGACACAGCTGGCCCTACGCCCCCCGAAACTCACCCCTGACAAAGGGGGCCGAGGACAGGGCCCTTGGACCCACCGCGTCCCCCCTCAGCCTCTTGGGGTGTCCGGGGTGGGCTGGGGCCCTGGCGGGGAGGAAGGGGCTCCTTGGTTGTCCTGGGGGCCAGAGCATGGGAGGCGGGGACGGAGGAGGGCCTTCTGTCCCCCCCCCCCGTGAGGTGCTGGGGTACGCTGTGCCCAGGTGCCAGGGTTCCCAGGGGGTTCACGGGGCACACAGGAGGCCCAGGCTGCCTGGGCTCACCTCTCCCCCTCCCCCGTTCCCAGAAACCCAGACAAAGGCGTGCAGTTCCTCATCTCCAGGGGCTTCATCCCCGACACCCCCATCGGCGTGGCCCACTTCCTGCTGCAGCGCAAGGGCCTCAGCCGCCAGATGATCGGCGAGTTCCTGGGCAGCAGCAAGAAGCAGTTCAACCGCGACGTGCTCGAGTGAGTGCCGGGATTCCAGGCGTCCTCTCAACCCTCGGCCCGGCCGGCCCAGAGGGGGCCAGAGCCGCTAGACTGACACCCCAGGGCTGGCGCCTCCCCACCAGGCTTCGACACCCCTGGTGTTTTCTGGGGGCTACCCCAGCTGCTTCTTAAAGCACGGCCTCAGGAGCGTGGCGTGGCGGCGGTGGGGCTGAGCTGTGGGGAGGGAGGGGAATGAGAGGGTGCAGGGGTGCAGCAGGGGTTCTCAAGAGGTTAACGGCTGCGAGCTTTGCCGGATCCGTGATGCGTTTGCACCGCCGGATCCGTGATGCGTTTGCACTGCCAGAAATAACCCGCCGGCCGCGGGAGGGGAGGGCTTTAATTAAGCCATGTGAGCCCAGAAGCGCTGGATAAAAGGGGGGTTCCTGCTGGCCCCTCCCAAGGGAACAGATGCCCCGCCCCGCCCCCCACACTCCAGCCCCCCCCCCCTGGGTTCCCCACAGCGTCTGCCCGCTGCTGAGATGGCGAAATCCATTTCCTCTACACGCTGCCGCTCAGCCGGCTCATTCCAGAATGCTCCTACAACGCACCGTGTCTCAGCTGCGGGCAAAGCTCCCCCTCCCCGCTTCCCCCCAGCATTCCCGGTCAGGAAGAGGTAGCGGGTTCTGGTTACTGTTCCCTGGGCTCCTGATTACGTTGCTACACACTTCAAAGCACAAAAGGCACCCGTGGCTCCCGCCTGCCACCAGCGACTCAGGAGGCTGCGAGCTGAGGATCGCAGTTCAAAGCCAGCCCGGGCAGGAAAGTCCGTGGGACTCTTGTCTCTACTGAACCACCAGAAGGCAAAGAAGTGGCGCTGTGGCCCGAGTGGTAGAGCGCTCACCTTGAGCACAGCAGCTCAGGGACAGCACGCAGGCCCCGAGTTCAAGCCCCAGGACCAACCATTCCTCTCACCAACAAAAGAAGGCAACCCAGACTTCCCCGGGCTCTGTCCCGCCCAGCCACTGGTTAGCAGAAAGCTGGTGAGGAATGCAGCTTCCCAGGCTACCTCCAAACATGCTAAATACAGTGTGAACACCCCGCCAGAGGACAGCGTGGGGGGTCCCAGAGCACACATGGGGGGGCGTCCTGGTTCAGGGGCACCCCGTGACCCCTCCTGAGCTCCCCATCCGCCTAGGGCCAGCATTTCTACCCGGCTGAGTGCGGGGAGGGAGCTGTGGAGGGAGAGCAGGGGCGCGCTCCCCATCTTCCACCTGAGCCCACGCTGGAAACTAGGCCATGGCGCCCGGCTGGATAGATCCCCCTCCCAGCTGCTGCGGCCCCCCCTCCCCTGCCCCCCAGCCCTGGCCTCCAGCCCACTGCCACTGTTTGTGGGGGAGGCTTGGGCCAGGAGGAGCATGGGGAAAGGCTGGAGGGAGGACCCGCAGCAGGGGGGGGGGAGAGGGCAGGCGGGGCGGAGCCCTGTCTGGGGTGGACGCGGGGGAGGGGGCTGGGGGGCCTCCTCCCCTGCCCTCACGCCCCCCTCCTCCGCCCTCAGCTGCGTGGTGGACGAGATGGACTTCTCCGGCGTGGAGCTGGACGAGGCGCTGCGCAAGTTCCAGGCCCACATCCGCGTGCAGGGCGAGGCGCAGAAGGTGGAGCGGCTCATTGAGGCGTTCAGGTGACCCCTCGTCCCCGCCCCCACCCCCTAGAGGATCGCGGGTCAAAGCCAGCCAGGGCAGGAACGTCTGTGAGACTCTCATCTCCCAGGAACCCACAAAAAGCCAGAAGTGGTGCTGTGGCTCAAGCAGCAGAGCGCCAGCTTTGAGTGAAAAAGCTCAGGGATAGCACCCAGGGCCCTGAGTTCAAGTCCAAGGACCGACACATGTGCATGGGCGCGTGCACGCGCGCACACACACACACACACACACACACACACACACACACGGCAGCCAGTGACCTCCCTCAGGGAGCGGCGTCAGCCCCTCCCCAGCCCCCCTTGCTGGAACTGGGGTGGAGGGAGACTCACGGCCCTGCCTGTGCCCCCCCCCCCAGCCAGCGCTACTGCATGTGCAACCCCGAGGTGGTGCAGCAGTTCCACAACCCCGACACCATCTTCATCCTGGCCTTCGCCATCATCCTCCTCAACACCGACATGTACAGCCCCAACATCAAGCCGGACCGCAAAATGATGCTGGAGGACTTCATCCGGAACCTCAGGGGTGAGGCAGGGGCCAAGGGAGGGGGAGGGGGGGGGGCCCTGGGAAGATGGCTGGCTTCCCAGGTATCGCGAGACCCAGGTGGGCCTCTGCGCTGACCTGTACTGTGTGACCTACAGGCTGGGAGTGCCGGGATTACAGGCACGCACTACCATGCCTGGTTTTCCTGTTTGTACTTTCCTATTACTGTGTTAACATGACTAGAGCCTTCTCTTCCTAGAGAGGCCCACCCGATTCCCTCTGCTTCCTGTCCAGCCCTCCTTCCCCAAACCCACCCTGGGTTCTTAGGGAGGGAAAAATCACCGGTGACATCTCAACAACACTGCTCAATGCCACCAAAGTCTCTACTGGAAGGAGGGGACGGGAGGGGGGGGGATGGCTGGGGGGGGAGGAGGGTGACTCTAAAGGGAATGAGATTGAACGTTGGAAAGATGGCGGCAGAGGCGGGCGGAGGGAGAGGTCGAGGCAAATACAGGGAAGACAAGGGGGTGGCTGAACGGAGGGTGAGCAGGATTCTTTACGTCCTCGGCGGTGGGAAAGAGCCCTGAGGGGCGGGCAGAGAGCTTTCCAGAACCTGCGGCAGGGAGCGCCCCGGCACTGTCCTGGATTTCATGGGATTGGGGAGCGCGCCGGCCCGGGGCTCTCACCCCCCCCCCCCCCCCGCTGGCAGGCGTGGACGACGGCGCGGACATCCCCCGGGAGCTGGTGGTGGGCATCTACGAACGCGTGCAGCAGAAGGAGCTCAAGTCCAATGAGGACCACGTCACGTACGTGACCAAGGTGGAGAAGTCCATCGTGGGCATGAAGACGGTGAGTGCCCGGCGCGGCCCCAGCCCCGGTGCAGCCCCAGCCCCAGCCCCAGCCCCGGTGCAGCCCCAGCCCCAGCCCCAGCCCCAGCCCCGGCCCAGCCCAGCCCCAGCCCCAGCCCCGGTGCAGCCCCAGCCCCAGCCCCAGCCCAGCCCCAGCCCCAGCCCCAGCCCCAGCCCCAGCCCCGGCGCAGCCCCAGCCCCAGGCCCGGCCCCGGTGCAGCCCCAGCCCAGCCCCAGCCCCGGCCCAGCCCCGGCCCCAGCCCCAGCCCCGGTGCAGCCCCAGCCCCAGCCCCGGTGCAGCCCCAGCCCCAGCCCCAGCCCCGGTGCAGCCCCAGCCCCAGAGCAGCCCCAGCGCAGCCCCAGCCCCAGCCCCAGCCCCAGCCCCAGCCCCGGTGCAGCCCCAGCCCCAGCCCCAGCCCCGGTGCAGCCCCAGCCCCAGGCCCGGCCCCGGTGCAGCCCCAGCCCAGCCCCAGCCCCGGCCCAGCCCCGGCCCCAGCCCCGGCCCCGGTGCAGCCCCAGCCCCAGCCCCGGTGCAGCCCCAGCCCCAGCCCCAGCCCCGGTGCAGCCCCAGCCCCGGTGCAGCCCCAGCCCCAGAGCAGCCCCAGCGCAGCCCCAGCCCCAGCCCCAGCCCCAGCCCCAGCCCCAGCCCCGGTGCAGCCCCAGCCCCAGCGCAGCCCCAGCGCAGCCCCAGCCCCAGCCCCAGCCCCAGCCCCGGTGCAGCCCCAGCCCCGGTGCAGCCCCAGCCCCGGCCCAGCCCAGCCCCAGCCCCAGCCCCAGCCCAGCCCCAGCCTCGGCCCAGCCCCGGCCCAGCCCCGGCGCAGCCCCAGCCCCAGCCCCAGCCCCAGCCCCAGCCCCAGCCCCAGCCCAGCCCCAGCCCAGCCCAGCCCAGCCCAGCCCCAGCCCCAGCCCCAGCCCCAGCCCCAGCCCCGGCCCAGCCCCAGCCCCGGCCCCGGCGCAGCCCCAGCCCCGGCCCCGGCGGGCACAGGACACAGGCGCGTCCTGGCAGTCACTGCGCCACGCGACCGTGCAGAGGGGTGATCGGGTGCGAAGGCCGGCTCAGGGAGCGGGGGTCAGGGCCCGGGCCCCCCCTGCCCTGGTCTGCGCTGCCTCCCGGGGGCTGTTTCCTATGCAGGGGGGTGGCAGGGCGATCCGCCTCATCCCCACCATCTCCTGGGTGCACGAAACGTGCAAAGACCCGTCTCGGGCCTGCGCAGGAGGCCTGGCTGCGCAGAGGAGGCTCAGGGTCAATGCAGGCCCCGCCTGGGAGCAGGAGCAGGTCCCCCCCTGTCCCCCGGGGCCGCCAGCTCCTCTTCCAGAAGGTGGGCGCCGCGCACCGGGGAGGAGGCCTTGAGGCCCGGCCGCTCTGCTGAGCCCAGGCCCTGGGTTTCAGGTGCTGTCAATGCCACACCGCCGCCTGGTCTGCTGCAGCCGGCTCTTTGAGGTGACGGACGTGAACAAGCTGCAGAAGCAGGCCGCGCACCAGAGGGAGGTGTTCCTCTTCAACGACCTGCTGGTGGTGAGCTGGGGCGCTGGGGACCGGCTGGGGCGGGGCCAGGGCGCTCTGGGGCCACGCCCACTGGGCGGGGCTCATCCACCCCACAGGCCGGGACTGGGGCTGTGCTCCGAGGCCCCGCCTCCGGGGATGGGCGGGGCCAGCTCAGGATGCTTCCCAGGCCCCGCCCACTGGGAGGAGCCAAAGCACCACACACCTGGATGCTCCCAGGCCCCGCCCACTGGGAGGAGCCAAAGGGCTCACCATCCAACAGGCCAGGACCCATGCTCCCAGGCCCCGCCCCCTGGGAGGAGCCAAAGCACCACACACCTGGAGGACTCACCATCCAACAGGCCAGGACGGATGCTCCCAGGCCCCGCCCCCTGCGTGGGTGTGGCCAGCTCAGGATGCTTCCCAGGCCCCGCCCATTGGGAGGAGCCAAAGGGCTCACCATCCAACAGGCCAGGACCCATGCTCCCAAGCCCCGCCCGCTGGGAGGAGCCAAAGCACCACACACCTGGATGCTCCCAGGCCCCGCCCCCTGGGAGGAGCCAAAGCACCACACACCTGGAGGGCTCACCATCCCACAGCCAGGACGGATGCTCCCAGGCCCCGCCCCTGGGGTGGGCGGGCTCTCAGCCAGTGCCCTCTGCCTGGGAGCGCGTGGGTATGAGCTAGATCAGGAGCCGCGTGCAGTTACCTGGGAAGGTGGGAATACACAGCCCGAAGATCCTGGCTCTCCGAGGGGCAGGGGACACACCGCGCATTTCCATCCGTGCTCCTGCGTGGGGAGTGTGTACCGGGACTTGGTGTGCAAACGCCACACTCAGGACATGCCTGGCGTTGTCCTGAGCACCAGGGGCATGAGCAGGGCTTGGCTGAGGCTTGTCTCCACCGGCCCTCTGTCAGGAGAAGAGGGGGCTGGAGCCAGCCCCACCTGATCTCCTCTCGTTGTCCCGCACCCCTAACTCCATGCCCTCCACGACGCAGCATAGGAAATTACCGAAATTACCTTATCCCTTTCTTGGCTTTTGCTGTAGCGTCCTGATGGCAGGCAGGCAGGAAGGATGGATGATGGACGGATGGATTTGTCCTTCATTCTTCCCCTGGGGTCAGGAGTCAGCTCACAGGAGGTGCTGGATAAAATATATACCTGTAGAGCAACTAGTTTAACTGACCTGTGTCGGGAGGAGAGGAACAGAGATAAAAAAAGAAGCAGCTACTGGGGCGGGGGAGGGCTGGGGAGGGCGCGGGAGGAGGGGCAGAGAACAGGTCCACCCGGACAAAAAGTCGATGAGACCCTCAGCTGAGCAGACAGGCCAGGCTTGGCGGTACAGGCCTGTAATCCCAGCCACCCTCGAGATGTAGGTAGGAGGATTGCAATCCGAGGCCAGCCAGGGTAAAACGAGCAGGAAACCCTACCTGAACATAAAAGCCCACAGAGGTTGGGGCACGTCCGAAGTGCGCACGAGTCCACGTGTGTGTGTGGGGGGGTCCTTGTCTCGCGCAGATTCTCAAACTGTGTCCGAAGAAGAAGAGCTCGTCCACGTACACCTTCTGCAAGTCGGTCGGCCTGCTCGGCATGCAGTTCCAGCTCTTCGACAACGAGTGTAAGTCCAAATGAGATGAGGTGGGGTGGCGGCGGACGGGGCAGACCCGGTGTTTTGGTTTTGGGGGCTTTTTTGTCAGACGTGGGGCTTGAACTCGGGGCCTGGGTGCTGTCCCTCAGCTCGAGGCTGGCGCTCTACCCCTTGAGCCACCGCGCCACTTCCGGTTTCCCGGTGGCTCCCGGGAGATGAGCGTCAGGGCCTTCCCTGTTGGCAGATTACTCCCACGGCATCTCGCTGGTGACGCCGCTGTCGGGCTCGGAGAAGAAGCAGGCGCTGCACTTCTGCGCGCTGGGCTCCGACGAGATGCAGAAGTTCGTGGAGGATCTGAAGGAGTCCATCGCGGAGGTGACGGAGCTGGAGCAGATCCGGATAGAGTGTAAGACGCGGCGGCACCGGGCCTCAGGGCCCAGGGGTGACGGCTCAGCGCCAGGCAGGGGCAGCCCCCCACCTCCGCCCCAGCCCCTCTGAGCGAGCAAACTGGGGAGCACAGAGAGGTTCAGGACCTGCCTGAAGTCACACAGCAGCAGGGAAGCTCAGATCTCAAATCTGGGCCCGGCCAGCCGCCCCCCCTCCCCTCAGAATCGGGTGCGATAGCACCTGTCACCTCTCGCCTTGTTTCCCACGGGACTTGCTTGCACTCAGGGCATGTGGCTGGGCCGTGAGACGCCCACTTTAGGCTTCCTGTGTGTGCTGGGGATGACACCCCCACCTCCCCGCCCCCCCGCCACCCCCCTTCCCCAGCCTCATGGACTTTCTGCTGCCTGGGCTGGCCTCCAATCACAATCCTCTGGTTCTCGGCCTCCTAAGTGAGCTAGAGCGACCCTTGTGGCTAGCAAGGATTCAGTGTGGGTTAAACCAGGCAGAGGGAGGGGGAGAGGGAAGGAGGGGGGAGAGGACGGCGGGGGGGGGGGGGATAAAGGACAGGGCTCCGGAGCTGCGGGGGGGGGTTGCTCTCCCTCCTCTCCCCTGCCCCCGTCTCCCCCCACGCCCCCGCGTGCTGGAGGCCGCTCTCCTCTGACCAGGCCCCTCTGTGTCCTCAGGGGAGCTGGAGAGGCAGCAGGGGACGAAGTCGCTGTCCCTCAAGGCCGGGGGTGCCCAGGTGGACGCTCAGCCCAAGCAGGGGTCCCCCCCAGGTGAGCGCGGATCCCCAGGCTGGCCGTCCTCCCCGCGGGGGGAGGGAGGGGCAGCACAGCCAGGAGCCCTTCAGTGCGTGCGTGTGTGTGTGTGCATGTGCGTGCGTGTGTGCATGCGTGTGTGCGTGTGTGTGTGTGCGCACACGTGTGTGCGCACGTGCTCCCGCCAGGCCTGGCGCTGGAACTCGGGGCCTTGCTTCTTGCCCAGCCTTTCTGGCCCACGGCTGGCGCTCTACCACTGGAGCCACAGCCCCCGCCCAGCCTTTTTTGGTGTGGCTGTTGTTGGTTCATCGGAATCACAGGGGATTCGTCTGCCCTAGCTGGCTTTGAGCCTCAGTCCTTGGAGCTCAGCCCCCGTTGGCTGGGATTACGGGTGTGAGCTACCATGCCCGGCTGAAGTCTCTTTATCTGGAATTGCTCTTCCGCTCTCCCTGCGGTCCAGCCCCGGTCACCACCTCCCCTCCTCCGGCCCCCAGATGGGGAGGAATCAGATGGCAGGAGAGTTAGGCCCCAGCTCAGTGCTTCTCCCCTGTACCCCTAGCCCTGAAGGGGGGGGCAGGAGGAGGTGTCCCCACACAAGGTCCGCTTGAGCTGGTAGACTGGTGGACGCCTCGGGCCCCCGCCCCCCAGCTGGCCCGGAAGCCGCGCTCAGGACAGACGGACAGCAGCACAGGGACGGCTAGGCAGGGCCGGGGGCCTGGGGCTCCCGCCTGCCAGGAAAGCCCCACCGTCCGCTCGTCCACTGTGATCTGGTCCTGGCGTGCCCGGCGCTGCCCTCGGCCTCACCTCAGCTGGGGTCCGGCCTCTCGGGCTTCTGAGAGCCCTGGTCAGGCCTGGGCGGGCGGCCCGGGCCGTGTTTCCTGATAGCAGGGCGGAGCCTGGCTGCCCAGAAGTCCCGCCCCGAGGGCGGGGCTGTGGGAAGCCGAGCTGGTGGTGACACTCAGCAGGTCTTCGGTTCCCAAGCCTTTTTGTTGTTGTTGGTGGAGGTGGTGGTGGTCCTGGGGCTTGAACTCTGGGCCTGGGCGCAGTCCCTGAACTCTTCACTTCAAGGCTGGTGCTCTACCACTTGAGCCACATATATGGCGCCACTTCTGGTTTTCTGGTGGTTCATTGGAGATCAGAGTCTCACGGACTTTCCTGCCCAGGCTGGCTTTGAACCTTGATCCTCAGATCTCAGCCTCCTGAGTAGCTGGGATGACGGGCGTGAGCCACCGGCGCCCAGCCTTTACCTCTCAGCTAGGCTACATGACAGAGACTAAAGACAGCCCCTTCTCCCTTGGACCTGGCGCCCACAAATCAGGGCTGTATCTTCACCAGCATCCCCAGCCCCCAGGGAGGCTTTTGCAGCACGATGCGCGCTAGACTGCTGTGCTAGACTGCCCAGGCCCAGAGAGGTTCTGCCTCTGGCGGAAAGTCACACAGCTCAGACCCCACTGGGGCCTGCGCCCCAGCCCAGGCTAGGCCCCGGGCGGAGAAGCTTCCAGCCCTGGTGGCCTGAGCCAGCCTTGTGCCCTTTGTATTCAAAGCCAAAAGCCAGCCGGCGGCCGGGGAGAAGCCCGCGGCGGCGGCCGAGAGCCCGGGGGAGGTAAGTGAGGCCTGGTGCCGTCCAGGTGAGTGACCCCGAGGCCCGCGCCCGCACCGTCTTCCTTCTCACCGTCTCTGTTGTTTCTCTTCCCAGGTTTTACTCAGTGCCTCCCCAGCCCGAATCTCCATTTTACCAATTTCAAGAGATACAATTAAAAGTTACTGCTAGCATGGGTAATGCCACCTCCCGGCGCCGGCCGCCCCCTCCAGGGCGGAGATCCGGGAGACGCAGCCCCCTCCCACACCCCCGCCCTCCCTCCCTCCCTCCCCAGCAAACCCCCCGCCCGTGGTTCCACAGAGGGAGTCCCGTGCCCCCCCCCCCCCAGCTTCTGGGCAGCGCCACGCTTCCGGATCCCTCTGGGCAAAGCGGACAGGGGTGGGGAGCAACTCAGGGCCGAGGCCGGACCCCGGAAAGCCAGCCTTGGGCTGCGTGCGATTAGAACGAGCGGCGGGAGGCGTTCCCACCCATCCCCAGGCCACAAGCAAAGACAGCCCCAAAGCCTGGTCCCCCAGGGGCCCCCTCCGTGGCCGCCAGGCCCCCCGCTGCTTCACACACACAGTCCTACCCCCCCACTTCCACCCGGGGGTTGGATCCTGAGCCCCAGGGCCCGGGGGCCTTTTCCGTCTGTCCCGGCGCCCAGCCCCACGCTGCGGTGTGTGTCTGCGGGGACACCCCACTTTGGAGGAGAGTACAGTTCCAGCAGCCGAGCCCCTCCCCCGGCCCCCCTGTACAGCACCAGCTCCCCCTCCCTCGGCCCCCCCCCCACCTCGGGCTCCAGGGCCCTGCGGCCGCGAGACCCGGGCTGCAGCCTGCCAGCAGCTCCAGCGCTCCCTCCTCCCCCCCTCCTCCCCTCCTCCCCCTCCTCCATCCCTCCTCCCCTCCCCCTCCCCCTCTCCTCCCCCTCCTCCCCCCCTCCCCTCCTCCTCCCTCTCCTCCTCCCTCGCCTCCAGCAGGTGCTTCTCCATCTCTGAGCTGTCCTAACTCTGCTATCCATGCCCACCTGTCTGTCTGTCTGTCTGTCTGTCTGTCGAGTAGGGAGGGGAGGAAGGGGAGCGGGTGATTTGCTGTCACTTCTTGCTTTTCACTCACCGGCTCTTCCACATGAAGGGCGCAGGCTGGCCGCGCACAGGGTGCCCCCACGGGGAGGTGAGGCGGGGAGGGAAGGCAGAAGGCCGTGCGGGCCGGCCCTGTGGGAGGACTCGGACGCGTGGGGCGTGAAGGCTCCCTTAGCTCCGGGCGGAGCCGTCTTGGGCTGGGCCTGGGATAAATCCCTGGCTGCGGCCCCTCTGCAGTGAGTCTGGGTGGTGGGAAGCATCCTCAGCCTCAGTTTCCCCCCTGCCCTGTGCAGCGGGGACACAAGTAGGAAGCATCCCACCCCGGGTATAGGATAAGGAATTAAATCCTGCTTCTGGAACCTTCCGGCCTCTCTCCTGTCCCTGTCCTCCAGGTCTCTCGCTAGCAGAGGCCGCCAGGCCGGTGCACTCACGCCGGCTCCGTGTTCTGCCACACTGGGGCCCGCACGCGCCCCTGCCCGAGGGGTGACGCTTAGAGAGGCCCCCCCCTCCCAGCACACCCCCCCCCCCGCGGGCACACTTAACCAGAGCCCGGTGGGGTGCTGTCTTGGCGAGTGCCATCTCGGGGTTCGGACAACCCTAGGAGAGGGGTTGGGGAGCGGTAGGAGGGTCTCAGCGTCAGGTCCTCCGGCCCGCAGCGCACCCCTGGGGGGCATGAAGGGGCACAGGTCACATGCCCTGCTCCTCCAGCTCTGTGGGTGGAGCTAGCTCAAGAGGTGGGAGGAGCTAGCGGGAGGGGGCGTGGTCAGAGTGAACAGATCGCAGGCTGGAGGCCAGGGCTGTCCCCCCGGGGGCCAGGCCGGGTGAGGCCGTGGGTAGAGGGGGTGGCTGAGCTCAGGAGTCCCCCTCCCCCGGCAGAGGGGGGAGGCTCAGGGTCTTCAGGCCGGGGAACTGGTCTGTAACATGTCACGCTTCTCTGGCTGTTTCTAAACTAGGTATCAATTCACAACAGGCTCCAAACGCCCCAGCACACGTCCGGGCTGGGGGCCGAGAGGGGACCTCCGCCATCACCGCCACCACCGCCGCCGCCGCCGCCGCCGTCAGACCCGCAGCCTAGCCCCCCGGGGGAGCCGGCCCTGCGACCTCTGCCCCCCGCACCCCCTGGCACCCTGGTCCAGTGCCAGCAGATCGTGAAGGTCATCGTCCTGGACAAGCCCTGCCTGGCCCGCATGGAGCCCCTGCTGAGCCGGGCCCTGTCCTGCTACGCCGCTGCCTCGTCCCCCACCCCCCTGCGGGGCCCGGGCTCCCCCACGGCCGCCCACCAGCCCCCGCTGCCCCCGCCCCCGCCCCCCTACAACCACCCGCACCAGTTCTGCCCCCCCAGCTCCCTGCTGCTCCGGCGCCGGGGCTCGGGCGGCTCCCGCAGCCTGGTGTAGACACGGCTTGGTGTCTTCCACGTCTCACCGCAGCTTGGGCTCAACACGGGGGGGGGGGGCCCGGGGGGCCCCACCTCCTGCTGCTCCCCCTCCAGGCCTGACACCACGCCCCCCTCACCATCATCTGGCCCACGGCACACCACGCTGGACCCCGGCCTCGGGGCTGGAGGACACTGAGGAGGTTGAGGGCCGGGCTGGCCAGCGGGCTTTGGGGGGTCTGTTGGTACCCAGGCTTTGGAGAAGATGGAGGGGGTGAGAAAGGCTGGGTGTGGCCGGCGGCGGGGACCCAGGCCGCCTGGGTGAGGCTGGCCGGGAGGGCGGACGGTGGGAGCTCAAGGGCGGCGGGCTTTCTCTGGCCAGCAGTCTCCGGAGCCTGCTCCTTGGGCCCCAAAGATGGCGTGCTGCCCTGACCCCTCCTCACCCCGTGTCCCCCGCCTCCCGAGAGCCCCCCATGGAACACCGGCTCTCTGTAGCTCCAGCCCACTGCCGTGGGGTCGCACGGCGATCTCCTTGCACACGCACTGTGTGTGCAAGTTCCCCTGCCCCAGCCCACGTCGGAGCCAGCGCACACGGGCACGTGTGTACACACACACACACACACACACACACACACACAGAGCGGGACCAGGCTAATTCCTCGGGGACACGCACACAAGCAGGTGCGGACATCCCCCCCCAAAACCAGGGCTCCATCCTGCATGGCTCTGAAGCTTCCAGAAAGGGGGTACAGACGGGCTAGAGAAGTGGGGGTCACCCGTGCCTCTGCTGCCTCCCGTACCTCTAAATTGAGCCCCCCCCCACTTCCTGGAAGGCGCTGCTCTGCCTTCCGCAGGGGTGAGTGGATGGTCTCTGGGCCCTCAGAAGTGCACAGATAAGCCAA